AAATTTAAAATGGAGATGATTTTAATAGTATCTACCTCAAAGGATTGTTGTGAGATTTAATGAATTAATGAATAGAAATTTCTCAGAACAGTGCCTGGCACATTGTTCTTAATAAGTGTTAGGTATCATAGTATAACACAAAACATATTTGGTCTTTGTCCCTGGTTCTTGGCACAGAACTTATAAAACCCTTGAAATTTCCTGAGTGACAGGAGTGTCTTTCTTTATTCATAAGCCCCTTTCTATCGCATCTGAGTTTACCCTAATAAGATGACTTAGGAGGGGCCCCTAGATCTTGGGATACGGCTGGTCACTAGAAATACCAAGTGATTAGAAGGTTTGAACTTTCAGACCCACCTGCTGACCTCTGGGAATGGGGGTGCTGAAGACTGAGCTCTGTGAATATTCTTGAACAATGAGGTCCAGAGAGCTTCCGGGCTGGTGAACACATCCAAGAGCAGGGAGGGTGGAGCACCCTAACTCCACAGGGACAGAAACTCCTGTGCTTAGAACTCTTCCAGACCTCACCCTACGTACCCCTTCGTCTGGCTGTTCCTTAGTATCCTTTATAATAAACCCATAAACATCAGTAAAGTGCCTTCCTGAGTTTGGTGAGCCATTCTAGCAAATTATCGAACCCGAGGAGCGGGTTATGGGACCCCCAATTTATAGGCCCTTGGTCAGCAGTATGGGTGGGTGGCCAGAGACTTGTGACTGGCATCTGAAATAAGGGCAGTCTTGTGAGACGGAGCCCTTAACCTGCGGGGTCTAAGCCAAGTGCTGGTAGTTAGTGTCAGAATCGAATTGGATTGTGGGCCGCCCAGCTGGTATGAAGAATCGGTTGGTGTTAGAAACCAACCCAGAGGCTGCAATTAGTGAGCATGTTCAGTGCTCTAACTTGAAAGAAGGGGAAATTATTAGGTTTAACATTCGGCTATCCTATGAGTGAACTTTCTCAGAAGCCGTCAGTGTTTTAACCCACAGAGGGACTAATGGTGGGAGATTCATTCGCTGACTAGCCTTGGTTTAGGGGAGGGGAGGGGAGGGACTTCTTAACACCCCATAAATCTCATCGCTTCGGCCGCACCTACCGTGCCTCTGTCTAGGGCTGACCATGATCCTGCCTTCTCACTCAGGAAGCGTGGGTTTGCTCTGAGTCATCTCTGTCCTTTTTTTTCTAGATCTTGCTTCATTTTCCCCACAGCCTTTCCCTGGTCCAGGGGTTAGTCATCCTTCATGGTGACTATTCCAAGTCCCTCCTGATGTCATTCCCTGCTCCCAACCTCCCAAACTTCTTGCCAAAGATGTTTCTATCTGTTCCTATGATTGGATTGCTTTCTCCCTTAGAACCTTGACTTTCGGCCGGGCGCGGTGGCTCACGCCTGTAATCCTAGCACTCTGGGAGGCCGAGGCGGGCGGATCGTTTGAGGTCAGGAGTTCGAGACCAGCCTGAGCAAGAGCGAGACCTGTCTCTACTAAAATAAATAGAACCTTGACTTCCAAGGGGTAAGGAAGACACAAGATGTGCTGGACCCTGAAGCCAGGAAAAGGGAATGACGGCCGTGCCATCGTTCATTCACCACGCATTTGCCGATTCCTGCCAAGACCTAAGCCCTGTGGCATATAGAGATAATCCATAGACAGTCGCTGTCCTCATAGAACTCAGTCCATTGGAGAAATAGAAACAAAATCATACAAGTACGGCAAATCCTCCTGAAAGCTATCCACAGAGGTAGCACGGGCTGCACGTGAGCGGAAAGGAGAGCCACCTCCCCCAGGTTGCAGAGTGTCAAGGAAGGCCTCCCCAGGGAGTGACAGCTGAGCTGAGATTTGAAAGATGAATGGGAGTTCTCCGGGCTACGAATTTGGATGGGAAATGCATGCCAGTCAGAAAGAACAGCATGCTCGAAGCATGGAAGTGTGAGACAGCATGGTGTGTGCACGAATTCTTCAGCCTAGGACTTGGGCTCAGTGGGAATGACCCAGGGGCAGAGGTTAGTTCTGCTGAGGCCAGAAAGGACATCCCTGGTCCCATAGGACAGACTTACGCGTGAGTCAGCTGGGCCTTGGAACAGGATGTTACCAGCATGACGTGACAGAGTCAAGAGCCTCGCAGGACTGGTCACAGCCCCAGCAGAATCCACTGTTATTATAAGGATTACGTGAGAGAATGTATGTCAAGAGCCTGGCTCAGAGTAAGCACTCGATACGTGGTAGCCATTATTATTATATGATTATTGAATTGCGTTGTTAGCTCTGCAGAGGGAACTGGCAGAGATTCTATCTGGAAAGAGGCCCTGCAGGGGATCTGTTAGAGAATGTTACATCTGGGCTGAGCCTTATTCTTTTGTGGGAAATGGACTTTTTGGAGAATCTGATGAAAGCTGTGGACCCTCTCCCCAGAAAAATGCACATCTGCTCCCACGACAGTTTGCGTATTATTTCAGGGACCACACAGACTCCTGGAAGCCCGTCTAGTCATGGAACTTGGTTGGACACAGCTGTTATTTGCCAAGCATGGCTGAGAAAAGTTCCCACTGTTATCCCAGTTGATTATTCCAAGTGAAAACCTCAGCGCATGGAGGATATTCAACTCTGAGAACATCCTGTGTGTTTTAAAATACAAAGTGGCATTTGGAGGAATTGGTGGAGGAGGGAGACCTGTGAAGAAACCATCCTGATAGTCCAGGGAGAACACATGGCTGGCTTTGCAGGCATGTGACCTTTGCAGTCATGCAGGGTTCTTTGTGGTCTTAGTTTAATGCTCTGTTATGTTGCCACCTTGAAGAAATTCTTGATTTTTAACAAGAAGCCTTGCATTTTCATTTTGCACT